CGCCCCGCCCCGCCCGCACGCTGATACGCGACTCATTACTATGCCGGGTAGGGCCGGTGACACTCCAGCGGTCGCCTCCGGCCGCCTCCGGCCGCTCCCTGGACTCCAGGAGCCCCCCCGCCGCCCCGACCCATCCCTGGCCTCGGCCCCGGCCTCGGCCCCGGCCCCGGCCTCGGCCCCGGCCCCGGGCGAGGTCCTCCAGACCCAGCCCGTCGTCACGGCAGAGTGCCCCACACGCCGCCCGGGGCGCGGAGCTGGCGGAGCAGAGGCCCGGTGTAGTTGACCGTGGCGTACGTCGTGGGGGGCCGAGGCCGAGGGCCCGGGGCCGGTGCCCTTGCTGGTGAGCTGCCGTCGCGCTCCCTCGTACACGGCCGGCTGCCTCCGAGGCGTGCTCCCGCCGAGTTAGAGAGAGAGAGAGAGAGGGGGGGGGGGTCTCCTCCGACGGAGGCGCGGGCAAGGTGATTCCACCATCCCCATCCCCATGATCGCTCCGAGGCTGTTATTCCGTTTTACTGATTTCGATTTGGGATAGCGGAGGTGAGACGGGCGGTGGAGACGCCATCTACACTGTAAAGAAAGATGCCACGTCATCCGGAATATAGAAGCTATTTTTTTCACGTGCAATTTTTGACGAATTCTTGTCAGGGGGAATCGGCGGAGAATGCCTCGGTTTTAACATATTTTTCCTTACTTGTGTAGCAGGACTCTCTGTCGCACTCGGAACCATGTTCTTGTTTGGCTGTGAAACCATCATGAGCTGCGCGCCCTCTCCTCCCGGGTGACCGCCTCGACTTGGGGGACTAGTCTACGGGGAAAAAAGTATTTCTGGAGCCCGTTTCGCACTTGAGCCCTCCGCTCCTGCATGCCCCCTCATTGTCCGGGTCGTCGAAGTCATTCCTGCCCCCAACCAACCCATGGCCGAACCGCCTACGCCTGCCTACGCACGTCGTTAAAATCTCATTTCTCGCGCTTCGGCAGGCCACGTGCTGCGCTACGGCTGGCTGAGGCGGCCGTGCTGCTGCTGCCGTCTCACTCTCTCCGCTCATTTTTGGCGGTGCAGCGCAGGACAGAGATGACTGCGCCGCTTTTGTCCGCGCGCTATCGCCGGGCCCGGGTGGCGGCGCGAGCGCGCGGCAGCGGAGCGCGGGCGGCTCGGCCGGGCGAGAGCGAGGCTGCGGTTTGACGCCCCGCATCCGCTCTTTGTTCCATCTGTGCTGCGCCACCTCCCCCGGCTCGGCCCGGATTTAAACACAGGCCGCGCGCCTAAAAGAAAGAAAAGAGTCGTGTGCGGAAGAAAAGTTGTTGCTTTTTTTTGTCGTCTATTTCTTTACTTTCCTTCTCGGAAAAAAAAAATGCAGTGCAGCACCAGCTTTTACCCTCTTTTCTGTTGAACTTAAGCTACCGAAAAGTCGATTAATAAAATAACACAAGAAGACGATTGTTGGCTCGTCCATTTTTTTTCTGCGTCTAAATGTCACACACACGTTTATTTGTGGAGCTCTCGTGGTGGGGCCGGGCTGGAGCGGAGGGCCAACGCTGCTGCGCTGCGCTCCTCGCTCGCGCTGTTTGTCGACGACGCAGGTATCATACCAATTCAAACAAACTCTATTCTCCCGCCCCTCTCATTGTGTCGTGCCGCTCCGTCCTCTTTTTGCCCGCATGCTGATGCCGACTCGCGCATTGTCCGTTCCTTTTCTGTGTCCTGCCCTACCTCCCCTCTCACACTCTGCCCTTCTTCCATCCTAACCTTTCTCTCCAATTCTCTAACCCTGCTGCAGTACGCGAGTCTCTCTCACCCTTCTCTCTCTCTCTCTCTCTCTCTCTCTCTCTCTCTCTCTCTCTCTCTCTCTCTCTCTCTCTCTCTCTCTCTCTCTCTCTCTCTCTCTCTCTCTCTCTTTCTCTCTCTCTCCCCCTTTTTCTCTCTCTCTTGCTCTCTCACTCCCCTGCCCCCCTCTCCTTCCCCCCTTTCCTGCCCCCTCCCCTCTCAGCCACCGTTAATTTTAGTTGGTTTCCCGCCCCAGCACTCTCCGCCAGACAATAGGGCAGGGGGGTGGGTGGCTGCCCGTGGTTACAGAGAGGCGAGCTCGGAGGCGAGGGATGTCAAAGACATGCTGCCACTGCTTGTTCCACTTTGAGGCCGACCCTCTTAGCAAGTAGTTACGAACATCTTGCAACGTTTGCGGGAGCGCCTGACTAGCAATGGTCGCAGCAGATGTTTGATAGACCTCGTGAAATGAAGTAGTGTTGATCGCCCTTCACCACGCTGTGAAGGGGTGCGGGGTAGCTGCGGCAATACTCCGCTCGGGGGGAAGCTCTCGCTGCGCGTGGGGTGTCGCCTTCACTGGGGCCGGGACGAAAAAAACAGCCATTTTGATTCATCTAAACATTTATTTACACAGGTTACATGGTTATAACTTCAGGGTCGGGGTGAAAAAGATTTGTAAAGAGAGTCTATCAAGGTCTAAAAAATTAGAAATTACCGAGTTTACAGCTCAGTCAATAATGTTTTCAGACAATCATGCATATGATTTCGATCTAATACAAGCTAACATGCATGCTTAAGAATGAAAAAATCACAATAAGGCTTAGTAGTGAAGGGAAGAAACCAGCGTCGAATCGAGTGTGCTTTATGGCCGTGACACAATCATGAAATCGATTTGAAGTATATAGTTAAAGAAAAGATCGCGATATTGAGGTGAAATTCTCTCCCAGGGTACACCAAGTTCGCAGTGATACACAATTCTCATGGAAAGTCGTTGCGGATAGGCGTACATGAGCAAACTGAGTTGAAATGAGCATAAGATGAAGAACAGATTAACAGATCGCGATATCAATTCATATACATTACATACAGAGATATTCGAGATATTATAAACGTAAATACACAAACATATGTCTACTGATACTTCCAATAACTTCCATCAATCAATAAATCAATCAATCAACATACATACATACATACATACATACATACATACATACATACATACATACATACACATGCAAACATTCACTTCCATGTATGCTCTCACGCCCTAACTCGGTGCCACAAATTCACACGACACAAACACACAGCACCGATTGTCTGAGCACTGGGCGTTCCCTGGTCCTCCCTAGTCTACCCTCTCGCTGTCCCGGCGGCGGTGTGGAGCCGAGCGCAAGGAGGGCGTCCGCAGTCGGCCCCGCTCGTCCCCGGCGCCCGCACCGAGGCCGTGCGGCAGGCCGTGCAGGTTCACGGGGTTCAGTCTTCGCCAAAGGCCATGCGGGGCGTGTGCGGGGGCGTGTCGGGGCCCAGCAGACCCTGCAGGCTCTCCTCCGGTCACCGGACCCTGCCCGACGGCGACCTCAGGTGGCTGCGGATGTAGCCGGTGCGGTAGTCCACCACGGTGCGCTGCTGGCTGCCGGGCAGCCCGTGCCGGCTGCGGCGGCTCCACCTGCGGGGGCAGCCAGGCGGCGGGAGTCAGGCGGAGCGGCACCCGCGGGGATCAGGGAGGTAAGGCAGGGCGGGGGAGTACGAAGTTCCATTTGAAACAACGGATAGAGAGAGACACTGAATAGGAGTTTGGATGAAAATGTGCAGTTAGTATACTTCACTTTGACAAAAAAGCATGAATTTGAGAAGTGGCGCAGGTGTTTCTTAGTTTGTTAACAAAGAAGATACTTTTCGAAAATTATTGAATGTATGCTGTACAAGCTTAGAATAAGGATTGTGAGGACCAATAAAATGTAACATGCAAATGCGGAGTTATAACAGTCATGCAATCAATAATATATAATA